TCAGACTGGGACACTATTTTTCAAAAATGGAAAGAAACTGCCAATTTTAGAATACAGGAATGCCAAAATACCCTTTTTTCAGAAATTATAGAAGATTGGCCTTTATACAAACATGCAAGCAAAGGGCACATTTTGGTAAGTATAACTTACAAAAAATGTTTAACATACCTAGTTTTAATTTTCCAAATTATTGTAGGTGGAACATGATTTTTGTACTATGTTTCCGGGAAAAGAAAATAAACTCTTCTCTAAATGGACAGCATTGGTAGATGCAGCTTTTAAAATTTATGAAAATTGTATAAAAGACAAGAAAGGGTTAGAAGAACTCAATACTTTGAGAAAAAGTTGTATTGCTGAAGGTACGTTACGCAATTTAAATAATACACAAACTTATAAAAGTCATATTAAAATTTATTTTTTTCATAGATAAGCGAGAATACATGCTAATGAAGTTGCTACACTGTGTGGTAAAACCAAGTTGCCGAATAAAAAAAGCAGATGGCAGCATTTGGAAGCCAAGCATCATTGATTCACAATATAGTCAAATTCTTGTCATAAGTCTAGTTTCGGATATTCAACGAAAAGTCGAGGAAAGAAATGAAAAATATGCCCTTGTTGGACTAACGGTACAACCTTTTATTATCCTGGTTGAAAATGATGGTGTTAATTTAGAATATTTTGTTTGGTTTGAAGCGGTCATTCACAGATTTGAGAATTTTGTCAAATCTGTTGACTTTTGTTTTAAAACGTTTCATTGCTTCAATTTTCATTATCCAAAAGAGTGGGAATCTGTTTGGACATTCATACAAAAAATTTTTTTTTGAAATCGAAACACCACATGACATTGCTTGTCCCCATTTGTTAAGATTAATAACATCATTTACCAATTCAAAATAGAAAAATGTTTATGTGTTATATTTGCGCCAATTGTTTGGAAAGTGCGGATCTTCTTATTGACCATTTGAAATATTGCCATCAAAAACCAAGCTTCTATATATGTAAACAGAGCAACTGTCCCCAACAATTTACTTGTGCCGCAAGTTTTAAAAAACATTTAAAAAAACAACATGTTTCGACCAGTATCACAATTGATCGAGCAATTGGCAATTGCGAGCAAATTTCTATAGACACATTAGTATGTAATAACACTAACATTGTACCAGTAGATTTCTCACAAACTAAAAAAAGAACAAATGACACTAAAGAATGTGATAAGGATAGTACAAGTAGTACAAATTTATCGGAAGCTAGTGGTCAAATAGTAACGCGTTCAGTATCAGAGTTAAAAAACTCTGCTCTCAAATTCACTTTAGCCTTACACAACACATCCAGTTTTAATCGCAAGGATGTCCTTCACGTTCAAGAAATTCTTAATAACACTATAATATTAAATATAGTGGACATTTGTAAAAAAATAAACGGTTTTCAAGAAAATCAAAACCTGCAAATGATATTTAATGATATTTTGGAAAAAGTGAGCGACTTGTTTTCATTTATAAAAACAGAATACAAATTTTTCAAATATTTAACAGAAAATGACCTGTTTAAATTTCCAATTCTTGTTACAATAAATAAAGAATTAGGTGAAATTATTCGTTGTAATAAATCAACTCTTGCTGAAGAAAAAATTACTGGGGTTATAATGCCTATCAGCTTTCAACTAAAAAAATATTTTGAGCTACCTGGACTTTTTGATTTGTTTAAAAAAAATATGAAAAATTTGGAATCAATAAGTTCTTTAGAGAATTTTGTAAATGGAACGTTGTGGCAAAGAAAAATTCATAATTTTCGCCAAAAAACAGTTTTTCCAATATTTCTGTACTTCGATGATTTTGGAATTAATAATGTTTTGGGTCCTCATTCAACATCTCTTTGTGCAGCCTAATTCTCAATTCCTGTTGCTCCTCCTCAGTTTTTATCTAAACTCCAGCATATATTTTTAGCAGGCTTGTTTAAAACTAAAGATTTGAAAAACTTTGGGAATAATTATGTTCTATATAAACTAATAGAAGAATTTAGTGTATTGGAAACGAAAGGAATTAACATACAGTTGCCTGATGGAAGAACGGAATAAGTTTATTTTAGTATGAGTTTAATCATAGGAGATAATTTGGGCTTGAATGATATTTTAGGATTTTCCAAATCTTTCAATTGTACTTTTTACTGTCGCTTATGCAAGCGTAGTAGTGAACAAATGATGCAAGACTGTATAGAGCACGAAAATAAATTCAGGAATAAAAAAAAAACTATGAACAGGACCTTAAAATTGTTCCCGAGTCACTTCGAATAAAAAAAAGTGGCGTTAAAGAAGAATCCATTTTCGACACGCTTCCAAGCTTTCATGTTACCGAGAACTTTAGTTTTGATATCATGCACGATTTGTTGGAGGGCGTATGTCATTACGACATTAGCAAATCACTTTTATATTTTATTAAGAAATTTTTTTTTACCCTTGACACGTTCAATTATCGAATGTTACTCTTGAACTATCAGGAACTTCATATTGGAAACAGGCCTTCACCAATAAATATAACGGACTTAGAAGCAAAACGCTTTAAAATGACAGCTTCAGAGATGTTAACGTTCTGTCATTTATTTACTTTATTTATTGGAGACTTAGTGCCCAGGAAAGACCCTGTTTGGAAACTTTTGGGAATACTTTTTGATATTATGGATGCCTCATTTTTGGGCACAATTGATAATTTAACACTGATAACACTGCAGAGCCTGGTAACTCAACACAATCGAAGCTATGTCCAACTTTTTAATGATACATTAAAACCAAAACACCACTTTCTTTTACATTAGGATCAATGTTGGTAATTGGAAACAGGGGTAGATGAGAACACTGCTAAAACTATACAAAATAAACATTTTGTGGGTAAACAACGCCATTTTGATTTTGCACGCTAGCGATTCTGTGTTCAATACCAGGAGCAAATTTTTATTTTTTTTTCGTTTTTTTCGCTTGAAAATCGAGTGTGCAGTGGTTAAAAACTCATCTGATTGTGTCAATAGATTTGAAGTAAGTATGATTTCCGTTGAATGTAAGAACATCCATAGGGTGTTTATCAAAGTGTGAATGTTAATTGTGAGGTTATTTTATTTCAAATTCTGGAAATTGGGTGTTTCCAAATACCCCAAATATGATTAGATGGTGGTTAATGGAAACACTGTTTGGGGGTAAATGAGAAAAGGTGTTTCCGAATACCCCTTCAGATGGTAAATGATAAATGAGAACACTTCTTGCTACATGTTGGATTCTATTTTCAGATACGCATCGAAAATGCCCCGTAAATACATAAAGAAAAGAGATGCCCCCCAATACACTTTGCAAGATTTGCAAAATGCGGTGACAGATATAAAATAACAAAGGAGATCCTATAGGGAGGCCGCAGATTTCTATAAGATTCCACAAAGCGTTATTTATAACCGAATAAAAGGACGAAAGGTACCTATGGACAAAATGGGGGCTGGTGCGCCTAAAAATTTACCAAACAATGTAAAAACCCATATTGTTTCTGCTTTGAAAACGCGAACGTCAATGGGATACCCATGTGACAAAGCTGAACTTTTGAGATTAGTGGGAGAATATGTGATTGCAAGAAACATAAAAACCAGGTTCAAAGATAATATTCCAGGGGAAGAATGGTATCGTTCATTCATGCAACAAAATCCCAGTCTATCTCTGAAAAAGGCCGAACTTCTACAAAAACTGAGAAAAGAAGCTAGAAAACCAGAAATTATTTATGATTTTTATGACAAGTTGAAAACGACTATTCACGAGAATGGACTTGATCTGCCTGGTATGGCGCCTTTTATTTTTAACGCAGACGAGACTGGCTTCAAACGTGATCCTTCCCGTATCAGAGCCATAGGGGTAAAAGGTGAAGCCTTATATCGAGTTTCTGGGGGCTCAGGGAGGGAGAACGCCACCGTACTCGCCTGTATATCGGCAGATGGCTCATATCTACCACCACTCATTGTTTTCAAGGGGGCAGCAGTTCAAGCAAGATGGGTGACAATCGAGGCTTTGCCAGGAACTCTTTATGCAACCAGTAAAAATGGGTGGATGGAAGAGCCACAGTTTCACCAGTGGATTACTTGTGGCTTTATTCTTCACGTTGAAAAAGTACGTAGGGATCATAATAAACCCAACCAGAAAGCTGTGCTTCTTTACGATGGCCATCTCAGCCATATAAGTCTTCAAATTATCGAAGAGGCACTGAAAAATAACATTGAACTTATTAAGTTTCCCAGTCATATGACAGATAGATTACAGCCTCTAGATAGATGTGTATTCAAATCAGTGAAATACATCTGGGATAAAAAACTAGTGGCCTATGGGAAAGAGATGATGGGCAAAGGCACTGGACGCCTGTCGAAAAATAAGTTTGCTGAAATTCTCTCGCAAACTTGGAAAGATGCCATGTTGCCAAAAAACATAATTTCAGGGTTTCAGTCCACAGGAGTATATCCAGTAGATGCATCCAAACTCCCGGAAAAGAAGTTTGATCCTCAGCAGTTGAAATTTTTCAAAAAGAAAATACTCTCTTCAGCTAACAATAATGCTGAATTGGAAAATAATCCAGATAATGGCGATACTGATGATGCCAATATAGATATTCATTCATTATCTAGCTCAAACGTAGGGGAGACCGGGGCTTAAAGTCTCACGGGTTAAAAGTCACAAAATCTTTTTCTCGCACAGTAAATATGGCATCGTCGCCATATTCATACGCCAGGAGCGCTGTCGAATGCTTGTCAGTTCTCTATCATTGCCGTTGGTGCTAGTCGCATGTGTATCTTTTTACGAGTGAATTTGTGAAAAAAGCCAATGTAAGTAATTTTTTGGACTAATAATACAAACCGTATATTTTATCTCAGTGCTAAATTTCAAAAATGCCGTATCATATTTATGATACCCCTACTTAATCTCTAAAAAGTCACCATAACTTCAATAAATTATACAGTTAGATTAGGTACATATTTTAAAAAGAAAATAACAGGACCGTTTGGGGTAACTTGTCTCACACGTTGTGGGGCAAGTTCTCTTATGTGACTTTTTACCCCGATATTGAAATAAATATAGCTCTAAACGGGATTTAATTTTTAGATGGTGCGCGATTACAGGAAAAAAACAGATCGAGGCAGTTTTGATAAGGAAGCGGTGTTACGCAAAGAGAAAAATTGTAAAGAAGAATTTAACAGGAAATTTAAGAGGGTCGAATAATAAAAATAAAAATGGAAAAAACAAAAAAAGTGCTAAAAAGGAGTCCTCTGAACAATCAGAGCAAGATGATGAAGAGACTTTTCGTATTGTTTGCCTTGAACCATTTTCCAATAGTTCATCAAAAGAAGTTTGGGCCCAATGTACAGTCTGCAAGTTATGGGCCCATGAACAGTCTCGGTACACCGTGGTACGTCTGTCAGAACTGCGAAGATGATGACGACATCGATTGAGAAAATTGAAATAAAGCGTATATTATACATTATTTCTCTTTCTTACATGCATTTTTGCATTCTTTCAAATAAAAGCTAACCAAATATTTGTGTGACTTTTTACCCCTTTCCGTGAGACAACGTGCCCTATGATGAGGGCAAGATGTCACACTTGCAACAATTTGTGTTTAGCAAAAAAATATTTGAATTAACGTTATTTATAAATAAATTTATAGTGTCTTTGTACAGACAAATGACAGTGTGACAAACTGCACCAGAAGTAACTTTGATAGGATTGAATATAACTTCACAAAAAATTCACAACCAAATTTTGTGACTTTTAGCCCCGGTCTCCCCTACTAGAAGCAGAAATACCGGGAACATCTACAGCGGCTTCGACTATTAATGAAAATATTAACGCGCCTTCAACCTCAAAAGCAGCGGAGTTCCCACCAAGCACGATATTCTTAATATATTCAAGGCATCAACTGAACAATATATTAAGAAAGTATTAGACATGGAACCACCCGAACCACCTGTCAAAAAAGTTATACCACGCTTGAAGCAATTGGTTTATGGAGAGGTCTTGACCACTGAAGAAGTTTTGAATAGAATGAGAAACGTTGAGAAACAAAGAAAGGGAAAGGGATCAAAGACTGGAAAAGGCGGTAAATTCAAGAAACTGGAAAAACTTGTATTAAGTGATAAAGAAAACGACGGAAATAATATCAATAAGAGGAAGGATATTGAAATAAAATTACTGCGTGCCAAAAAATCGAAGAGGGATACATATTCATCTTCTTCAAATTCGAGCTCGGAGGAACTTTCATACGATGAAACTGATGACAGCCCTTTTGAAGAAGAAGAAGACCCACTAGGAGCTGAAGACCTATATACAGCGGACAAAAGCAACCTGAAAAAGGGAAGTTTCGCATTAGTCTGCTTTAAAGGCGGGAAAAGGATGACCGTGACTTATAAATATCTGTGTGTGATTGAAGACGTCGACTGGGAAGAAGGCGAAATCAAAGTTACATCTCTCAAATGTGCAGATGATACGTGTAGGGTTTTCTCTTTAGTTGAATCAGACGTTAGCTTTGTAATCGTAGATCATATTATTGGAATAACTCCAGAGCCATCTATTTAAATGAAGGGGGAGAGATTGTACTATACATTTCCACGAAAGCTTGATATCTTCGAAAAAGCTTAGTTTCTACTTCATTTATGCATTTTCCTAATAATAGAATTTGTTTTTTTTTACTTACTCACCACATTTTATTTCATTAGAGATGTTGTAGGGATTAATTTACTAAATGAATGTGAATTAGTTTTTAATTTACTGAATAAAATGTTTGCTTTAAAGTCCCATTACTTATGGGGGGTAATTGGAAACAAACAAAACAAATCCCGCAATATCATGCTTCAAAGGTGAAAATATTGCGAATAATTCCATTTACCCCATCACAAATCCCTTTATTATGATAGAGCAAAAAGTTACTTGTTCACAATTACCCCCGCTTTTCTGTTTTTTCTTTAAAATCCTGGGGTAAAAGGAAACGGTCCAAATTTCGAAAACAGTAACTAAGAGGTAACCAAAAATATATAAATATGTTGTATAATGTGTCAATATGCCTATACAGCTTTTAGTTGAAGTATTAAAATAAACGAAATTTGGAAAATCGCTTCCAATTACCCACATTGACCCTATGTGACAGCAATTAGACAATCTGGGCCATTAAAACATCTTTGGAGTATGAGATTTGAGGCGAAACATCAAGAGTTCTTTGCCAATAACACTAAATCTAGAAAAAATATTTCATATACAATTTGTATGAAAGCTGCTCTCAAATTTTCAAACTTTATTTATGAAGATTTTTTACAAGATGAATTTTATTCAAATGACTGTGACAATGTTTCAAAGGTCGACTCCAAATCCTATTTTAAGGATTTTGTAAATAAGTTTGGTGTGAATGTAAACGATAATATTGTCGCGGCTTTGGGTTGCCTGCTGACAAAATTCTTGGGTTCGTTGTTCGTTTCGTTTATTCCAAAAATCAAAGTCCAATTAACACAGCAATAATTTATTCCACTTAACAAAACACTCTGACACTAATTACTTTATTAACAAACTCAACAATTCAACTCTTTACAATCACTATTTAAATCGTATCACACTCGAACTGAAACTAAACTACAAACCAATGCCTTCTTATATATCCCTAAATCTATTCCTGTAAAATCTAGAATACACGATAATATTATTTTCCCGAATTAAGTAGAATAATTCACTAGATTCTAGTATACTCAAGAGATAATACCGAGAGATTCTTGACAGCCTGGCGGACGTTTAGCTTATTGTGACACTGCCCTCCTCTTAAGGTTGATCGTCCCGATCAACTTCTCGCCCATGATATTTCGCCAACCTGTCCAGATGTACAACTTTCATCTTACTCCTGGTGTTGCGCTGGACTCGATAAACCAAATCATTGATCCTCTTGATTACTCTATAGGGTCCTTCCCATGCTGAAGACAATTTCGGTGATACTCCTTTCTTCCTTACTGGGTTATATAACCACACTAAATCACCTTCTTGAAATCCGACCGAATTGGCCTTCAAGTCGTATCTGGTCTTCATTCGGTCACTGGCTAGTTGAATATGCTCCCGAGCAAAATCATGGATACCCAGAAGTCGTGCCCTTACTTCGTCGGCATAATCTCGGATTTCTCTTCGTTCTTCTTCGGGTACTCCAAACATCAGATCGCAAGGTAACCTGAGTTCCCTTCCAAAAACAATTCTAGCCGGACTTTCACCTGTTGAATCGTGAACAGCCGCTCTGTAAGCCATTAAAAATAGAGGCAAATGCTTGTCCCAATCTCGTTGGTTCTTTGCGACCACTTTTGTCAGGTGTTCCTCTATGGTCTTATTGAATCGTTCCACCATGCCATCAGATTGAGGGTGTAAAGGTGTTGTCCTTGTCTTACGAATGCCCATGATCTCACAAACTTTCTTAAAGATAGCAGATTCGAAGGTTCGTCCCTGGTCTGAATGTAACTCTAGTGGCACACCATGACGACTAAAAACTTCGTCCACTAGCACCTGGGCAACAGTGATGGCTTCTTGATTGGGAATAGCGAAAACTTCTGGCCATTTACTGAAGTAATCCATGATAACTAAGATGTATTTGTTACCACGCTCTGACTCTGGGAACGGTCCTGCTACATCTATCGCTATTCTCTCAAATGGAAGACCAACGTTGTACTGTTTCATGGGCCCTCGAGATCTTAGTTTAGGGCCTTTACTGGTAGCACAGATGTCGCATTTTCGGCACCAGCTTTTAACGTCTTCATGGTAGTGAACCCAGTAAAAACGTTCCCGAATTTTGTCCAAAGTCTTGTTAACTCCGAAATGTGCCCCTGAGGTTCCGTCGTGTATTTCTTTTAATACATCTTCCACTCGGTCTTTTGGGATTACCAGTTGGCTCTTAGTGGATTTCCCATCGGCACTTTCCCAAACTCTTTTGAGCAAACCATTTTCTACGGCCAGAGAGTTCCACTGGGCCCACAACGCCTTGTAAATCAAGCTTTTGTTTGACACTTCCCCCCATTCTGGCCTACATTCATCATTTTCTTTAAGATGTAGAATTTGCCCGATGTCCTGGTCTGCCTCCTGATCTTCTCTCATTTGCTTGGTAGTCCATTTGTCATCGACGATCAGGCCCGTTCTTCTTACAGCTGGACTAGTGTTTTTCTCATGTATATCGATTCTTTGACAATGTTTGCAATCTTCTTTACATGGCCGTCTAGACAGAGCGTCAGCATTTTTATGCAGGTTTCCAGGGCGATGTTTAATTTGGAAATCGTATTGCTGCAATTTCTCAATCCATCTAGCAAGCTGTCCTTCAGGAGTTTTCATTTCTAAAAGCCATTTTAGAGCTGCGTGATCTGTTCGAATTAGAAACTTGCGTCCGTAGAGATACTTATGAAAATGGTCGACTGCTTTTACTATGGCAAGCAACTCTCTTCTGGTGACACAATAATTTCGTTCTGGCTTTGATAATGTTCTGCTGTAGTACTCCACGACATGTTCTTGTGAATTTTGGATTTGTGAAAGGACAGCTCCAACACTGGTGTTACTTGCATCTGTGTCCAAAATCAACATGCCTTTGTGATCAGGATAGGACAACACTGGGCTCGTACATAATGCTCCTTTCAATCTTCTAAATGCGGAATCGCATTCTTGGGTCCAATTGAATGTTGATTTTTCTTCTGTTAATCGATGAAGTGGAGCAGCTATATTGGCGAATCCTTCCACAAATCTTCGATAATAAGAACATAATCCTAGAAAACTCCTTAGTTCATGTTTGTCGCGTGGTTTTGGCCAGTCCCTGACAGCATCTATTTTTCCTTCCATAACTTGTATGCCCTCTTCAGATACCACGTGACCTAAGAATTCCACTTTCTTTTGAAATAGGAAACACTTATTTGGATTGAGTTTCAAGTTGGCATTCCGGAAGCGGTCAAAAACTTCTTTCAGGTTATTGAGATGTTCTTGGAACGAATTTCCCATAATCATGACATCATCCAAATATACCAGGCAAGTTCTCCATGTAAGACCTCGCAAAACAAGATGCATCAGTCGCTCAAACGTAGCTGGAGCATTACACAATCCGAAAGGCATTACATTAAACTGGTATAGCCCGCTTCCGGTACTGAAGGCAGTTTTCTCTTTGTCATCGTCATGTATTGCCACTTGCCAGTATCCACTTTTGAGATCCAAGGTGGAAAACCATTTGGAGCCCGATAAAGTTGTTAGTGTATCGTCTATTCTTGGGAGAGGGAAGCTGTCCTTCTTGGTGACGTCATTGAGCTTTCGGTAGTCCACACAAAATCTAAGACTCCCATCTTTCTTCGTAACCAGTACTACTGGCGCGGACCATGGACTATTTGACTCTTCAATGACTCCCTCTTGAAGCATTTTATCAATTTGGTTTTCCACTTCCTGTTGCTTAGCTACTGGCATACGTCGTGGTGGTTGTCTAATTGGGTGTGCCAATCCAGTATCAATTTTGTGTTGAATTAAACTGGTTCGTCCGGTTTGATTGTCCATCACAAATACGTCTGCTTCTTTCAAAATGAAGTCTGTGGCTTCTTGAAGTCTATCTGGATCAAGATGTTTCCATGATTTCGCCAAAGTCTGCATCAAGGTGTCTGTATCCAATTTGGATTTTACAAAGTGTCGCTTATCTGGTAGGTCACAGTTCGATATTTGCTTCACTGGTTCGAGAGCTCCAATAATGTCTCCTTCTTTTATTCGTACTGTTTCGGAAGAAACATTGGCAATTCTTATCATAATGTCTCCATTTGTTCTTACTAGAGTCTTTCCAACAAGAAACCTTTCTGGTTTATCTCCAATGAAATTACGTGTTAGCCCAACGCAGCACCCAGGGTTTGTTTCTAATCTTCCGCAAATGATCTTCTCAGTACTTCCAGGAATCCTCACTGGGGTTGTGGCCAAGATCTTAACGTCATCGGATTCTTCTTGTGTTGTTAGGACAATTTCTTCATTACCAAATTTAAAGATGTTCATGGAAGGGTCAAAAGAGAACCCATGTTGGCCGATCAAATCCATTCCCAAAATAAAATCATCTTCTATATCGGCGACTAATGTTTTGTGCCTGAAGGTGGTAGATCCAAAAGTGAGCTCAACCATAGCTTCTCCTTGAACTGGTGCAGATTCGCCGGTGACTGTTCGTAGTGACAGGTTTCTAGTGAGCGGTTGGATTGCCCGAGACTTGACTAATGTTCTTTTAATTATGGAAACTTCAGCACCCGTATCAAAAGTGATAGTTTTCAATTCTCCATTAATTTGTCCTTCGAATGTTAATCCTCTATAATGACTGCCCAATGATTTTATGTTAACAACACTGGGGGCTTCGTCATTACTAACCAGCATTCGCCCCTCCATACTGGTTAGTTCTCGTTTCCCTGTCTGTTATTAGGGCTGGCGTCTCTTGATCTCGAAAAGCGTTGGAAACGATCCCTTGATGGAGAGGGCATTCTTACTCTACAGTCTCGTTGAATGTGTCCAACCTTATGGCAGCGATAACATTCTAATCGATTTCTTTGTGTTGGTGTTTGTCTGGAGTC